GCTGCTGCCTGTGCTACTTCTGCTGCTCCTGCCGCCGCCGCCGCCGCTGCCCTTAGCGCGCGCTGAGGACGCCTCCCGAGCCAACTCGGACCGCTACGCAGTCTACTGGAACCGCAGCAACCCCAGGTGAGCACGGGTGGGAACGGGGCGCTGGGGGACCCCAGATGCCTACCCCCGGGCCCGGCCTCCCCACCCTGAGCTTGGGTGTCCCGTACCCCAAACTCGCTGTTTCTGGAGTGGAGGGTGCCCGGTCCCCGGGGAGCCCCCAGGGAGTCCCGGCACCCCCGGAGTTTGGGGTACTCGTGCTACTCATGCATTCCCCTTCCAGGGTGCCCTACTGCCATGCAGTCTTGGGGACTTGCGCCTGCATGTCCCAGAGCGCCGCCATCCCCAGGAGTTTGGGGATCCCCTCTGGCATCCTCAGAAGCTGTGCAGCTTCCTAAGTTCCTTTCCAGACTTGGGGGACTCCATCCCTTGAGGCTCTCCAGGGAAGGTAACCCCCTTTCAGAGTTGGTGGGGCTCCCTCGGGACCTTGGCACTGAGCTGCACCTGGAGATGGGGGACCTTGGCCCCCTGGGTCCACAGGTACATCCTGCCAGCAGGTCCCCAGTATAACTTGAGGAAGTTGGAATGTACTTTTTTACTGACCCAGGTCCACCTGCACTCTAGGGTTTCAGGTCCAAACTTTGTAGGTCGGGGGAGACTGAGGTACCTAGGGAGCTGGGGGTCAGTCCCAGGAGTCTTGACGGGTAATACCCTCGCCAATCCTCCTAGTGTTTGATGGGAGAAACTGAGGGGCAAAGGGGATGAGCAGGTGGCTCAAGGTCAGGCAAGGGAGCAGAGCTGGGGCAGCGACCCAGGTGGCCTCTTTCCTAGCCTGCCGAGGTGCCAACGCCTGCCTGCCTGCCTGCACAACCTCCTCAGTGCTGGGTGCTGAGTAGAATCTGGGGGGTAGCAAAGTGAGAACATGAGAAAAGTTTGCTGGTGACTGACCACATCCTGGACATTAGCAGAAGCCTCTCTCTGGGCTGTCCCTTGAAGGCTGGAGTAGTCTAGGGGTCTCATGGAGATAGGGCTCCAAGGTCCCATGGCTTTATTACCAGCTTCAGCACTCATGGTCGCTTTCCCATGGCGGCAGGGCTGTACATGGGGGTCTTAGGTGGCCAGCCTCCCAGCTCCCTGCCCCTCTGCCACTGATCACTTTCTCTTCATTTCCAATTCCTGCCGTGTTCCTTTCTAAGCCTGCCGTCCCCCCCACTGTTCCCTGCTGTCCTCAAGTCTTTGGGCCGAAAGTTGCATAAAGGGCAGTCTTTGAGGCAGGCTGTGGGACAAGGGTGGCCAGTGTCCGCCGTGGGGGCAGGGAGTACGCCCAGACACTCCCCTCAGTTGCCCAGCTGCAGGGTCGGACCCTGGAGCCCAGGATAGAGACCCCATGCCAAGGAGGGCTGGCCAGGCCACCTTGGACCCCTTCCCCTCATCACTGGCCCCGCTGGTCACATGTGGGTTTGATTATGGTTATTCCCTGAAGCTGGCTGAGCAGGGAGCCCAGCAGGCAGTGCTTCCCGGCCCAAGTTTTTGGTTACGGCTCCAAAATCCCTGTCCCTGTCATGGCCTGTCCTTTGTTCTAGCAAATGCCAAACACATGAGGAGCTGCAAACAAACCAGGACGAACCAGGGTGAATTGGGACAGATGGGGGTCACTGAGGCAGCCCTCTGCCCATTCTGCCACAGGGCTGTGCTGCTGGCAGGATCCTGCCAGGGAAAGGAGGTGCCCAGTCCTGGCTCTGCTGCCACTTGGTCACCACTGTTGCTGACCCAACAGCCCCGCTCTGAAGAGCCGCCTAAGGGGATGGCCTTGCGTGTCTGGTGCAGACCCTGGCCGGCATACCTTTCTCACCTCCCTCTCATCCTCCTGCCTGGGGTGTCCCAGGTGGGAGGTGACCCCCCCGACAGCTTGTGATGGGAGTGGGGGTTGGATGGGACCAGATCGGGACTCTATTCATTGCTGAAGTTGGGAGCTCTTCCAAAGGGGACCTTGGTGCCTGGGGACCCCTTGGGAGGTTTAGTGCCCAGGGGTGGCTGGACTGGAACCTGTGCCCAGTAATGGGTATCTCAGAAGGAGGGGTGGTGCTGGGCCGCAGGGTCTGAGGGCACCCAGGAATGCAACTTTCCCAAGGGCACCCAGTCCAGGGACCACAGCCTGGGGAGGGGCACAGGGTCGGAGAGCAGGCCTGAAGAGTGAGGTAGTCCCAGGAACAGAGATGAGAGACAGGCCTGGTTGGAAGAGCCAAGGATGGGGTCAAATCAGAGAGATTGGTGGCTGTGGCAGGCTGAGGAGACAGAAACGAGAAGAGGGGGTGGGGTCACTGAGCCTCAAAGAGGCACACACAAAAGGCACTGAGGAAGGGGACAGAGCTAGGGCTGGGCAGCTCGAGGCGGGGACAGACAGGCAGAAGAGCAGAGCATGAGTGGCGGCTGCGCTCAGGTGGAGATGGACAGGCACTGGTGGCATTGCGGTGAGGCCAGCTGCCCTCGCATGGCTGGGCCTGGTACCTGCACTGAGGTAGTAAGTGTGTAGCTTTTTCCCAAGTTATGTTCTGCTGTGCAGATATTTCCTTTGGCCTGCGGAGTTCGCAGAAGAGGGAGCCTCGCACCTACCTCTACTGCTGTCGTAGGGTGGGGTCTTGTCGCCAGTCCAGCCACCCTCCCCTGGCACTCCCACCAGCTGCTATCCATTGCTGGTGTCTCTGAGCCTGTCCCCAGCTAGGTTGTGCTGGGCCAGGGTTCTGGGCCAGCTGCCCTCACCTGGCTTGGCCATTGGCCGAATGTGGGGCTACCTGTGCATTTGTGCACATGGGGGGTGCAGGGGCTGCAGGATGTATTTGTTGAGGTGTGTTCTTGTTCCTGACATACAGGGTGTCCTAGGGACCCCGGGAGGTGCATGTCTGTGTGGCAGGGTGATACATGTGCCTACCTATGTATGGCGGCCCTGGCTTGTTTGCACATGTGTCTATGTGATTATGCCCGGAGTGCACACGTGTGGAGGGTGTAACACACATTTGCAGGAGTGTGTCTGTGTGTGGAATGTGTGCGGTGTCTGGGGGTACATATGCCTATCTGCATGTGCATATTTGTGCATGGGGAGAATGTATGTGTTTGTGTGTTGTGTGCACATGTGTGTCTTTAGTGTGTCTGTGGAGAGCACATGTGTGTCTGCATGTGCAGTCTGGCTCTGGCTGTCCCAGGGCCTCACTGATGGTGGCACAGTATGCTTCCCTGCCCACCCTTCACCTCCTCTTTGGGGCAGGTGGGTCCCTGCTGATCCCTCGGGTCCCATGCTGCCTGCGGTGTAGAGCAGCGGTCACCAACCTTTCGGACCTCACGGACCACCAGTGGTCCGCAGACCATTGGTTGGCGGCCGCTGGTGTAGAGGGTTCCATTGAGGTTGACAGCGGGTACCATGCAGGGTACCTGCCAACCCTCATACTCCCCACTTGACTGGAGCACCTCAGCAGACTGGACCCAGCCTTGCCAACCTGGGTGGGGGCTCTGGGCTTAGTCCCTACCCCCGCCAGGCATCTCGGGCTTTTGCCACCCTCCCCTGGCCCTCCAGATTACCCACATTTCCTCTCAAATGGCCTGGTGGGAAATGTGGGCTTGGGGAGGATGTTCCTGTGGTGTAGGTGTGGGGCCCCTAGCCGAATCCCCTTCCCTGCTGGCCTTGCCTGGGCCTCTGGGGGAGGTGGCTCTGAAGGGGCGATGCTGTATTTTGCTGCTTGAGGCTTTTTTGTTTTGTTTGAAAGAAACTCACCCTCTGAGGCTTAAGAGGCTTGGAGAGCGAGATCAATGGGTCTGGGGGCCTGGGGCCAGAAGGTGGGGTCCAGTAGGCGTGGGAGGGTCTGGACTTGGATTTATGGATCCTAGAACCATAGGTGTGATCTCAGGTGGGCAGCTTGGCTGCTCTGAGCCTGTGTCTCCTCCATGAAGTCGGGGCTGGCAGGCTATGCCCCTCAGCAGATGGCAGTAGGAGTCTTTTTTTAAAAAATATATTTGTATTGATTCAGAGAGGAAGGGAGAGGGAGAGAGAGATAGAAACATCAATGATGAGAGAGAATCATTGATCAGCTGCCTTCTGCACGACCCCTGTTGGGGATCGAGCCTGCAACCCAGGCATGTGCCCTTGACCGGAATCGAACCCGGGACCCTTCAGTTCACAGGCCGACGCTCTGTCAACTGAGCCAGACCAGCTAGGGCATGTAGTAGGAGTCTTAAGGGGCACAAAGAGGAGAAACCGAAGCAGTCCCTGTGGGCAAGAGGAGGGGCCTGCAGGCCCCCAAATCCACAATGATAGTGATGTTCCAGGAATAGGTGACATGGCCAGCCATGCCCCACCTGGGAGGGAGCCCAGGCCCCCACCAGGTGGGAGTGACTCAAACTGCTCCATTCAGCCCCCTTGCACTTGCTGTCCCCACCATGCTGCTCCCATCCTAGATTGATGTGTGAGCACAAATCAGACTGAACTTGGTGGCCAGCCAGACCCCGCTACAGGTGCACACGCCTGTCCCTGCACCCACCTGGCTATTGTAGGCACTTGGTCTCCTATGCCTCAGTCTCCCTGTCAACCCAAGGATGTTGACTTCAAAGGGCTTAATTCACTGCACAGGTCAAGTTACCCCCTCGCCCAGCCCACACCCCAGCCATGCAGCCCCCTAACCCACCCACCCTGTGCCTCCATTTCACAGACCCAGATTAAGTGAGTCATCCAAGGGCAGGGGTAGCCAGGCCCAATTGGGCATCGCCCCCCTCCAAAAGGCAACCGGGTCTGGGGCTGGCCAAGGAGTGTCAGAGACACTGGGTGCATTCTGGGGGAAGACAGGCCTATGCCTCTGGGGCATGTCTTACTGAGACTGAGGCCCAGGGCTGGAGCTGATTCTGTGTCCCCTCCCCACCTATTGTGCCCACCCTGTACTCAGTGTATCCCCTGCACCCGAAAGGCCATACATGTTGTGTCCAACCCTGCATTACTTGGGGCCCTAATTTCCCCTGAGGTCCCACCCAGCCGCCCAGTCCTGGTGGCCAGGCCTCAGATGGAGAAATGTCTTCTTGGCCCCTGGAAGGCCTAGGGGT